AACTTTTTGTGCTATAAAACTGTGCTCCTAGAGAGCTGGGGTACTGTTCTCTAACCCAAGGATTTCAGGAAAGACAGTCCTGGCTAGAATTATAAGCTTGTTTTAATTTGATTTAAAATTGGAATCAATGGTCTTTTCTTTGCATCTTTTCTTTGCATTTGTGGTTTAACACAAACTGAAGTTTGGAGTGGGAAAAGCATCTCATTCATTCATTCAACAGACACCTGAACGAGTAATTCCCATGCATAGGTGGCTCAGACTCCAGGGATACAAAGATGATTAAGACAGTCTCTGCCCTCACAGCCCACTATGGACAAACACAAAGTGTACTAAAGTATATGGAGAATTATAGCTAATACTCATTGGTATTTTTGAAGAAACAATTGTCATGAGCTTTACTCATTCAATCCTCCTCAAAGGCTCTCAGCTAGATACTTTTTTTTTCATAGAAATCACATAATTTATTCTATTGTATAAAAAAAAGTCATCCTTATGTAACAAAATGTCTTCTTAGAAGAAGGAATATATTATTTCTGGTCATAAATAACCAGCAAACACCTGTTGGCAACTCAATAAACCAAAACTTGTGTTTTCCACCAGTGAGAACAGACCTGCTCAGATCTATTTACAAGATAGTACAGTACTGAACACAAAAATTGAGGTATTTGGTTCTTCTAGGATTAGACGCTGACATCTGTGAAGGCAGACCGCCTATGGGAAAATAAATAAGGTATATTCTCTTACATATATGTCATCGGGAATGGTAATACTGGTATGTATGTCAAGCATCAAATTTCTAGAAAAAACGGAGGCAAGCAAAAAGAAAGCAGCTCACACATGGGTCCTTTATCTTCTGCCCCGTTTTGTCAGAGGGACTTGATGTACCCATTGTATATTGGTCCACAAAGCGCTGAATTCACCATGGCAACTGCTCAGAACCCAGGAGAACTTGGGTGAAATTAAATAAATAAGGACCAGCACCCACAAGCCCATCTCTGGAGTTACTGCCTCTCTTCTGGAGGAAGAGCCTGCAGTCCTGGTGGGATGGAAGCTCCTCACCTCCAGGGCCTTTCAGCAGCTGAGGGAGGTGGTGATGGGGCTCTGAAGGTAGCTGAGGGCACTGTTCGTGGAGTGGACGGGGATGGAGACAGGGAAGTTGAAGATGGTGGTGGTGGAGGTGCCTCGTCCAGCACAGCCATGGCAGGGATCCCGGCCTCTGCCGAGCAGTGCAGGGCCAGCACCTGGGACTCGAACTGCAGCAGTTGGCTCATGAAGCTGAAATTGGGGGAAATGATGCTTCGCTTCTGCTTCACGAACTCAAAGGCCTCATCCAGCTTCACCTGGTTAGTCCTCATGAGGTAAGCGAGGCAGATGGTGGCTGACCGGGAAATGCAGGCCTGGCAGTGGACAAACACCCTTCCCTCTGCATTCTTGATGGAATCTATGAAGTCAATGGCCTCATTGAACCAGGATCTGATTCCGCCTTGTGATTGTCCTCCACAGGAATGCTGTTGTACTGGTAGTGGCCCTCAAAGTAGTTGGGGCAATTGGCCGAAACGTTGATCAGGGCAGTGATGCCCAAGGCATGTCCTTGCGGGAAGCATGGTAGGCACTGCCCAGGTACAAGAAGGGCAGGATCTCCACT